TAAGAACCAAAACAGGTGATGCATGTAGAATTGCTATACAAACTCTTGCAACATAGTGTAAATGTAATAAGGATATGTAATATTACACAAATTTAATAGTACAGAAGTTTAAGGTAAAGACAGTGAAATATGAGATGTATCACATTGATGATTTTAGCACTTATTTGTGTTTTGGCCAAAGATTTTAGACATCCACTACCAAGACCATGCTTGGGTGAATAGGCAGGACAGATCTCATTGTAAGCATTCAGTTGAATGTTAAAAATATCATATGGCATAATTCGTCTATATGTGCTACATGTACAGGTTTCAAAGTGATAGGACATGATATTTAAAAGAACATTTTTGAAACAGAGGAGTGATGGCACTAATAATCATTCCTAAATTCCTCAGTTTTGAAGATGTATACTTTTTGTTAGGATGCATATAATTATCAGCTTAAGATGATAATTGTGCCATTTTATTTTCTTTGACAAATTATTTAATCAAAATTTGTATACTCACCAACTTTAAACTTTATTGTATGCTTTCAGAATGAATTAAATGCAGCATTCTACTCTATCTTGATGTGGAAGTCACTCAATTTATTTCAAGTGTGTAGCTTTTTGAGGATTATGTTTGTACTAGGTTATTCACTATATTTGGGGGTATAATTGTCACATTTTATTAGGGGCTACTATGAGAACTAAATTAATTTAATGTGTTTACATTTTCTAATTATAGTTGAAGACCAATGTTTCTCTTTGGAAGGAGCTGGAGTCAACTAAAGCCGTTATTATGGGAGAAACTGCTGTTGTAGAAATAGATACCTTTCCCCGAGGAGTAATTTTAATATACCTAGTTATAGCATTTTCACCTTTTGGGTACTTTTTGGCAATTCATATCGTAGCAGAAAAAGAAAAAAAATTAAAAGAATTTTTAAAGATAATGGGACTTCATGACACTGCCTTTTGGTATGTTATTAAAAATTTATTAGTATAATTAAAAGTTATATTAAATATACAAGTTTTCAGAATGATAATTTTGATATTTACCCAGCTTAATGAGGTGCTGCTTCTGTTTTCTTATGATGATTGCCTTTGTCTTGGAATTTGAGACTAGTCAACAAGCTTCAGCAACTTACTGCCTTGCTTTAACATAAGGGAAGAAGAATTGGAAAGCTTATATTGACAATACATGTTTACATTTTATTTCACATTTTG